CAAATATCTTGCATAAAAGTAAAAAATCTTCAATATTTTTATGAAGCTGAAAGGTCTTAAAGAGACTTGAAAGTAAGTCTATTTTGATTTTTCTCTAAAAATTTCCTAATTTTGCTGCAGAACTCCAGCTTTCTGCACAGATCATTTCATCCATGCTTTTCCTTATTATTGTCATTTTGTCATTCCATGGCGTGGGGTGATAGTTCACAATTTACCATAACTGAAAGGTTAACTTTTAGAACACACATCTCACTCACTGCAACATTACATCCTCTCCTGAAAACCAAAGCATCCTCTGCATTCACACAGCCTGAAGCTTTACATTACTGTCAGCACACACTGACTCTATTTTGACATGTGGGTTTTCTCTTGATACAGAAGATGATGCTGAATTATCAGAAGAGAGTTTGGTTTGTGGGAAACAAGTTTACTCTGTTTTTCAAATTCCTGCCAAACTGCTAAGAGTGATTAATAGTTTCTTTCCCTCTGTCAAGAGAGTGCATATTTTAAATTACAACATCATTGCTTTAAATCCCTGGCCCAATTCCACAGTGATGCTTCCAGTGTCCCACTCTACAGCCTTGAACGGTCCTTTAATGATATTTGGTTCCTAAAACTGGAAGATGTATTGGCAGCAATATGAAGAATTACATATATTATTATTTCATTTATTATTATACATATATTTTTATTATTATTCATAATTATTACTTAAGAATTACTTAAGAATTATATTATTCATTATTATTACTTAAGAATTATCTATTATTAAGAATTACATATTATTATTACAGATATTATTTCTCCCCCAAAGCAACAGATATCCTGCTCATTTTCAAGGCATTGGATTTTATCCCTATTAGCCAGCACTTGTGGCAATCCTGATTTTTGGATATCTTCAGTGTAAAAATCAAAAAGAAGTCCTGGTTCTCACAGCTGGGCTCAATTTTTTTCTGTGGAATTCATCACCTGCAGATATTCTGGATGATCTAAGCAGATTTGCCCATTTATGGTGGCAAAATAACCCTTTTCCATTATTTCAGGTTTCCCAGGAATGACTGAGGTGCCTGAAGAGCAGCAGCCCTCAAGCTCGCGTGCTTGCTTTGACTGGTAAAAGGAAGGACTCCTCAAATCCAGGATTTTTTGTTCAAAGCCTGTTTTTGCTTGTTTCAGGCTTAAAAAAGAGAGGAGAAAAATCTGATTCACGGAATCCACAGCCGAGCAAAAAATTCTACTCAGAAGTGCTTTTCCTCAAAAAGGAAATGATGAAACAATCCAAGTATTCACTACAAACCAGGCTCAGTTTCCTTCCCTCCTGTCAGGTCATCTGTGTTTCCACGAGCTGCTTCTGCAGCTCCTCTTCCTCCTCAAGGCCCTCCTGTCTCGAGCCTGGCATGGCCAAGGGGAGCCACAACCCCCCAGAGACACACAGGGAACAGCAGGAGAGGAAGGGCTGAGCAGCAGCAGCTCCTGCCAGTGCACAGGCAATGGAAACACCAAAAAAGCATTTTGGTGCTTTTTTGCATTGTGTGCAGTGCAACCTTCCGTTTTCATCATTGCCCAGAAAGCCCAAAAAAGCCCCCAGTGAGCAAAGCTGCATGTGAGCAGCCTTAAGCTACCCTTAAACTTCTATTTTATGCCATATTTAATGACTTTGCCTTCAATATATATAAAAACCCATATATATTATTATTATTAATTTCTTATATATTTATTTATATATATAATGACTTTGCCTTTTATATATTTTATATTATGCAGAATATTATATAGTCAATTATGTATATAATTTGAAAGAAAGAAATTATAATATAGAAATATATTATATAGAATATATTTTAGAATGTATTTATATATATTTCTATATAAATATATATATTTATATATTTATAATATAATTATTTCTATATTTATATATAGAAACATAGAAAGAAATTATAATATATATAATATATAATATATAATATATAATATATAATATATAATATATGATATATAATATATTATATATTATATATTATATATTATATATTGTATATTATATATTATATATTGTATATTATATATGTTATATGTTATATGTATATATTATATATTATATATTATATAAAATAGTTTCTTTCTGGGGGAAAAAAATTTATATATATATAAATATATTTATAATCGTGTCTGATCGGAGTGGTCACCAGACTCCAGGTGCCAGAGCTGCCCCAAAGGAGGAAAAGGATGAGTCCAGCAGCAGAAAAAGAGCTCTGGCTGCAGCATCACACACAGGACAGCACAGGCCAGACTGCTGGGAGCTCAAGTGTTGCAGCTTTGCAGTGAAGGGCAAAGATGTTTGAGGGAGGATCCTGCAGGGTGTCCTTGCCTGCCCTCCCTTGGCATTTTAAATGTCCTCATCAGGTCAGCAGCAGGAAACTGCAGGGACCAGGGCAGGTACACATCTGATCTAGGCACATCTTCCAGTGAAGTACAGTTTTTTCATTCTGTTAAAACTCTTTTTCAATAAAGAGATTGGTTTAGTGCTTCTTTATCCCAGTGTCATGGAATCACAGAATGCTTTAGGTTGGAAGGGATCTTAAAGATCATCCTGTTCCACCCCTGCCATGGGCAGGGACACCTTCCACTGTCCCACTCCAAGCCCCAGTGCCCAACCTGGCCTTGGATCTCCAGGGATGCAGCCCCAGTTCTCTGGGCACCCTGTGCCAGAGCCTGCCACCCTCACAGGAAAGAATTTCTTCCTAATATCTGATATAAGCCTGCCCTCCTTCAGTGCCTTGATTTTTTATTTTTAAAATATAAAGCTGGGAAAGTCTCCAAGGCTTTGGACTAAATAAAAATCTTTCCTCGGCTCCCCTGCTTGGCAGGTTTTCACTTCTAATACAACACAGATCAGAGAGGTGTTTTTTTGGCTCTCATACCTACAATAAGATTATTCCCCAGCATATGTTTCCATCAGTCATGAAAGCACTTTTTTCTTGTCACACAGCCTCATAGAGCTGGGAAGGTGCCTCAGGTAACAGAAGGGCATCTTTTGGTACAAACTTTCCCCTCACAAACAATCCCTTTTGGTACCATCCCTGTCAGCAGCTGAGGGTCAGGGAAGGAAGCTGATGAGTATCCTTTGATTTCTGAGCAAAACAGGCACAAAGGAACCTGCTCATCCCAAAACAACTCCCACTCCTCTCTTTCTGTCCTTTTCTGGGACTGTTTCTCCCCCCTGCCCTGCTCCTTCCATGGGGCACAGCTCAGTCCTCCAGGAGGTGTTTTCAGGAGACATTAACCTGCCCATCTTTGCTCCTGGCAGGCAGAAATGTGCCTGTTTCTCCTCAAATCTCAGCAGTAATCCAGGAGGAGCCTGGTCCTGCTCTCCCAGCACCAATCCTGCTCTTCCTGCAGACCCTCAGGGCTCTGCACACCAATATTTTATGGGAAAGAGTCAAACACAAAATTTGACCCATGGCAGGGGAACTGAAACTCAACAATCTTGAAGGTCCATTCCAACCTTCTGTAATCTGGTGTTTCTATGGTTTAAAAAACCCCCAAAACCCCAAGATGACTGTGAATACCAGCCATAAATAGAGTGTCAAGATCTGCTGTAAACTCCTAACAGAGCTGAACTAAAAATAGAAGCATGACAGGGTGAAGCAGTGCAGCTCTGGCGTTGAGAGGAACAGCAATGTCAAGAGGATGAATAAAGAAAAGAGTAAGGCTTTGCTTCATAATTACCTACCTACCACAGAACAATGTGGAATAAATATAGAAACCTTATTGCCAAATAAGCACCTACTCCCACAAGCACATTAAAAGAAATTAAACAAAAAAATCCCCACAAAAAATTCAGCTGTTGAAAGGAAAATATGATTTTTCTAAGATACGAGTGACATTTTTTCTGGTTTACCTTCAATTACGTGTCACATTCATTTTCTAAGGAGAGTTCTGACTGAATGGATCTCTCAGAGTGATTGTGCATCTCTTGCACACTTGTGCAAAAGGTCCAGCAGCACAAGTGCCATTATCTGCTCACACAAAGCTGTGAGACTCAGTGACAAATTAAAAGGCCAAACAAACACGTGAAGAGCAGGAAAAAACCCAAATCCTCCCCTCCAGTTCCTGTATCCCTCTCATACATTCCACAACAGTCACAGAGGAGTAAATGCAGACAAATCTGGGTAAAACACTTATTTCTCTGTGCCATGAGAATTCTCTAGCACAAGCAGTGGACAGAAAGCTCAAAAATAGTATATTTAAATATACATACAATATCTATATTTGCATAATTACATGCAGATATGTAATTAAGTAATATTTTAAATAAAATTAATTCGAAATAGATATAAATTTATAAATAACATATTCACATATATAATACATATGAAAATACATCTAGTACTATAAAGTTTGTTTTATCTGCTCACATAAAAATCATGTTGTTTTGGAATTACAGCGATTACTTGGAGATTACCTAGGGATTAAGACATCTCAGAGAAGCATGGTTACTTGAAACTAAATTAGAAAGTTCCCTGAAACTATAACCTGAGCTAATCAAGCTAAATATTGGGAAAGAATGAGGAAGTTTAACACAAGCAAATATGACAAGGTGAGTGTAAAGGCACAGATGTAGATCATGATTAGAGAAGTTTGCCACCCTTAAACTTGTATTTTATGCCATATGTAATGACTTTACCTTATATATAGATGTAACTATATAAATATATATATGTATTTTTATATTTAATGACTTTGCCTTTTTTATAGATAAAAATAAGTATTTATATTATATTATATTATATTACATTATATTAGTAATTTAAAAAAAATATATATATAATGACTTTGTCTTATATATTATGACTGTTGCCCCATTCAATGACTTGATGTCTCACAGCATTTCCAATCTGATTTTTCGGGTTTTTCCTAAAGAACCAAAGCACATCAGGACATGAATTCCTTGGTCTGAGAGCTCAGAATGCCATGGAGAAAAGTCAGGGTGTACTTACGACCAGAGGGAGTTTCTTCCCTGGGTGATGACTCCAGTGAATTTTGTCAGCCTTCGAGCATCGACTTCAATCCACTGGTAGGGGTCATTTCTTCCTGCACACCAAGCACCATCATAAAAATCATTTTCGTTAACACCTGCCTGAAAAGAAGGCAAAGCTGACCATAAATCAGAGCTAAGAAACTGCAGGTTTTTCATGGGAGAAAGAAAGGAACACATCATTCATCCCCCTCCCTTTAAGACCCTTGAGGCCCTCACCAAAATATTTCCTTACTCAAGGCAGGGCAGGAAATTCTGGGAAGTCCCTTTGAAAACTGAGAATGTTTACACACAAATTTCAGTCAGAAAAGATAAACAGAGCTTCAGTCTGTTCTTGTGGCCTGATAGAGCCACAGACCCAGAGCCACAATCTTTATTCAGAACAAATTATCCACATGGTCTGCAGAGTTTGGAAAGTCCTAAAAAGCCAGCTCCAGCCCATGTAAATAATGGTGATTAGAAAATCAGTGATTAGAAAATCTTGTTTTCCCTGGAAGCAGCAAAGCAGAGTGCAGGGCATGAGGAAACAGCAGCACCACCTCCCACCAGAACCAGAATTATTAATTTTCATAGCCAGGGTGGCAAAGGTTAAAAATTCAGGAATGTCTGGCTGCTCCCCAACTGGAGCACCAACCTGTATCCCAGTTTCTGCTGGAAACCCACCACAAACAGCTTTCCCAGCATTTCAAACAAATAGTTGAAGGTATTTTGGGTAAGCTGTTTTCCAAATAAATCTGAACTATAATTTAATGAAACATAGCATCTGAAGCTTTCAGAGATTTATTTTCCTTCTAAAGCTCAGGAAATGTTTGGCACCAAGCTGGATGCTGGCATAAAGAGCACAGAAGCTTTGCCATGTGGTCCTCTGAGGCTACTTGTATTTTTGTGGTATTTCATCTGTGGTTTATGTGGATTTATCATTGCCATCCCTGCAATTCCAGGAATGGAGATCACTAAATAGTTCCCAAATGAAAGTGAAGAGGTTTACAGAGTTTTGCTACCCAAAAGGGTGGCTCTAACTCAGAGAGGATGCAGTGGTTAATCCCTTTTCCCTGTGTGGCATCTGGAGGACGTGCTCCAAAACACAAGACACAGATTCAATTCCTAAAGCATCTCATTTTCTCATTTTCAGGACTGAAATAAGGCAGCTTAAAAATCACTTGTTTTCCTACATCTACCAAAATTAAATTAAGCCCCCTATTTCTGTGCATTAGCTCTGATATTTTAAGAAGTTTGTATAAAAGTCAATAAGAAAACACAGAGAAAAAAGCCTGTTAACAATGGGAGATAAATTCTTCAGGGAGAGCAGAACAACGGGAAAACATGAGAACACAAACATGGTCACTGACCTGAGTTATAACCCTTGGCAAGAAAAGGTTTCAATGCATTTTAAAGTAAGAAGGAATTTGAAGTAGCCTGAGGCTTTAAAACCTTGCCAGGGAGTGTTAAGATCTGCAGAGCACCTTGAACCAGCATCCTGCTAATCCCTTCACACTGGAAATTCCAGCAGTTCCTGCAGAACAAGTCTCCCAATCCCCGCTCCTTTTTAAGATGAGGATATTTCCCTTGGTGTGATGCTCATCAGGGAATAAACCTCTCCTCCACATTGCAATGAGAAGTGAAAAGTAGAGGAAAAAATATGGGAAAAGTGCTTATTGAAATTAAAACCCCTCCCACCTAAATTACAGTTATGAGTATCCATATCCATGGTTTCAACCGGGTTTAAATAAATTTCAGCTGAAGTTGCTTATAAAATATGAGGAGTTTTAGTTATCCACAGCTTAAAATACTCTGGCCTTAAATAGGGGCAAAGATCCCATAAAAATAAAGTAAAAAGAAGAAGAAGAAGAGGAAAAAGAGGAGGAAGAAGATGAAACCCCATGCTGCTACTTCTTCCTGCTCTCTTATTTTCTGATAGCAGCTTCTCTGAAGCTAAATAAAAAAGTTTTTTACTGAGTAAAAAGAAGGAGGTGTCTGTGCCTAATCAGCACAAAATACTATGTGAAAAACAGGAGTTTAATCAATGAGAAGTTATTTTTAGAAATGTATCTGAAGGGAAAAAATTGAAGAAATTTATGCTACAATTTCTCAAGCTTCAAGTCTATATCTTTTTCTGAAGGTGCTTTCTCTCCCTATGGCCACTTCAAAAACTGTTTCTATAAAATAAAAACGTATAGATTCAATCAAGTATTTAGTAATTAGAATTCCTATTAAATTTCTTTGGGAAAATGCTCATTCCTGAAAGATCTTGTACAGTTTTCACCAAGTACTCTATCAAATAATACAGATCAAGATCTTTCCTCAGCAAAGTGTTTCCTTGAATTTGAAAAATCCATATTGAATTACTGGAAAAAGCAGATTCAAGTTATGCCATGGGTACTTAAATTATCTTCATAAGCAGGAGACTGAAAGACTGAAACAGCTGATGAAAACTGGAAGCCAGGGCTAAGTCTTTTTCCTTTCGCAGAATATTCAAGAATAACTCCAAGTCTAACCCAGTTTGTGCTTCACTTGCAGCCAAATGCAAAAAATATTTCTCAATATACAGTGCCTTATTGAAAAAAACCAACAGAAAACCCTTTTGGACAGAGGAAAAGCGATTTTTTTCTGTCACTCACAAATCAGTTATTCCCAAGCGTGAAAGCTGAAAAATGTAATTCAGCTAAACCAAATGAGCTGCTTATTAGGTATCCAGAAAATAATATGAAGGTTATAAATTCCTTTACAAATAATATGACTTTGCATTTTAATTCGTGTTTCTCTTCCAAATTAGATGTGTGCAAGAATAAAAACTTGCTCACAATATCAATGTTGTCCTCATTATTCTATAATGAGGAGAAAGATGATACTACCAAAATGTACTCAAATAAAGAAACTCCAGTCTTCTGCCTCAAATCAGCTGGAGAAGCAGTAAAAATACACCAAATATCAAACCACCTCTGCTTAAACTCTTTTCCATTCCCAGCAGGATGATCAAAAAAAATTATTTTACCATAGGAAGTTTGGGAGGGAAAAAAAAAAGAGCATTACTCATCACAGGTATTTATAGCAACCACTGCCAGTAGGGAAGAACTAAAACACACAGGCTGCAAGTAAACCTTCAACAATTTTGCCTCTTCCTTGTGATTTGATAATGCAGAATTTCAAAGGGAGCAAAGACCTGGAATGACAATCGTGGAACCATGGGATGGGTGGGGTTGGGAGGGAGATTAAATCCTATTGAGTTTCAACCCCTGCCATGGCAGGGACAACTCCCACTATCCCAGGGGACTCCAGCCTGGCCTTGGGCACTGCCAGGGATCCAGGAGCAGCCACAGTTGGAAATCCATTCCAGTCCTCCCCACCTTCACAGGGAACAATTCCCAATTCCCAATCTCCCATCCATCCCTGCCCTCTGGCAGTGGGAGCCATTCCCTGTGTCCTGTCCCTCCATCCCTTGTCCCCAGTCCCTCTCCAGCTCTCCTGGAGCCCCTCTGGGCACAGGGAGGTCTCCTTCAGACACAAATGCCTGAGTTTGCAGACATGGGATTGCTTTACTTGGGTAACCTTCAGTGTTTGGGTTTCTCCAACCAGGAAAATGAGGAAGGGAAAGAAACATAGTTTGACAAATTATCCACTCTTAATTATCATATAAGTGACAAATACTAATGAATTTCATCCCTGAAGGCAGAGAGCCTCAATTAATATTATTTTATGCCATGATTTCCCTTGATGATGTTAAATTACTCCTGGTTTATCACTAGTGCAGTTAGATCTCCAAAAAATGGCACTCTACTAACATGGCTCGTGCCCTTGAGAAATCCCACCTTAATCCCCACACTCAGGCAGGACTGGGAGGAAAATCAGGGCCCACACAATTCAAGGGCACAAGAGAAGCAGATCCTGCAAAGTCTTACCCAATTTTAAGCCTGTCCTTCCCTGGAATAAAGCACACACCAACTGGTTCATTTCATGTGCTTCAGATAATCTAAACAGGAAAAGTGAAATAACCAAAACAAACCCTGACAAGCTTTGGAAAAACTTAATTATTCTGCAAATTGTCTGAGAACTGAGGCAGTGCCAGTTACCTGGGGAGAGCCCTGAGCTTCTCAGCTGACTTTGCATCAGATGATGAGGTTGGGCAGAGAGAGGATTTTGTATTATTCTGGGGGGGAGCACCACAGTCCCAAGAACATTGTCACAGCTCCGTGGTGAAATGCAGATCACTGGGCAGGGGCAGCAGCCCATAAGGCTGCTTGTCACCATCCCCAGAGCATAACATGTTCACAGAATTCCAGTGGCACAGCGGTGTCTCTGAGCTGGCCAAGTGTTTTCCTTCAAGTACAGCTCTGAGCAGCAGGAAAACACAGCAGCTTTTTGCCTTTCCCAGCTCACTGCAACCTCCTGTGCTGAGCAGCAAAGAGAAAGCACCAGGGAGCTCATCACCCACCTGGCACATCAGCCACCTGCAGCACCTGTCCCTGGGTAAAGCAAATTCCCTCTAAATACGAGTGAAATTCAGAAATCTCTTCATGCACTGAAACCCCAGTGACAGGGACATGCAGATTCCAGGTTTAGAAAAGTTTTAGTGCTATTCATTTTTAACTAAGCCCAAAGAAAACTGTTTTTAAAGAAAAATAAAGGCAAGTCCAATTTTTTTACCAGTAACTTCATGTGGTGAGGGGGTTTAGGAAATTATTGTATCTATAGTTTCAGTAGCGGTAAAAAAATGGTCTAATCCAAGATTTGGGAAATTTCAGGAAGAGCTGAGTAGCATTTTTCTTCTGCTTTGCTTCCCAGTAAAAAACTGTGCACTTGGCTTCTCTGGAGATTATATTTAGAGGAAACTTCAGCCATTGGCAACACTCTATTTATTATATATATATATATACATGCATTATATATTTATTTATCACCTCTGTTTATTTTAACACACTACTGGTGATGACAGGACTGGATGGACTCCTGGACTCCTGCTCTAAACCAGTGTGGTCATGTGTTTAAATAAATTGAACTTCAACAACAGCATGAAAAGTAAGTAGCCAGAACCAACAGAGAACTCAGAGGTGTGCATCACAGTCCTAATAACTAAGAACCCCCCTGAATATCACCTGCACTCCATTTTTTTGATCATGAGGGGTTTTTTTCCTAGCAGAAAATATCAAGTAAAGAAGCAAAATCTCTCAGTGGGCTCTCCAAAGTCAATAAATATGAAGGCTGCAGGTGAGAGCTCACCTTGCACACAACCCCATGGACCTGGGTTGGAAAGGAAGGGCCTGGATGGACCTGGATTGGGCCCATTCCCACTCTGGGCTGGCTGCCTGCCATCCCCCTTTTCCAGCTGCCTTTTCCAAAGTTTTCAGCTTTCTGACCAACTTTAATATCTTAAAACAAACACTGTAAAAAAAAAAAAATTAGGAGGGCTATGCAGGCATTTTCCTCAGAGAGATGTTTGTGCAGAGGCAGAGAGGTTTAAAAATTGGTTGAAAAATCAAAAGTTGATTGGTTAAAATCAATGCCTCTTCCAGAGTGAACCACATGGAATGTGGCACTGCTGATTAGAGCTCATCCCTCCTAGTCCCAGCCTAAGCATCAAACCCCTTTAGCTGGGGAGAAACACAAATGGAGGGGTCTGAAATGAAAGATAAATTAAACAAACTCCAGAGATCTTTCACGGTTGGCTCAGCGCTGATATCCTGTTTATGACTTTAAGTGTTCTGCTTTATCATGCAAAGTAACCTTTTTAGTCTGGACAGACGGTAATTCAGAGAACAGCCCTAATAATAAAGTGGGAAACAGAAACAGAAGAAATGGGACAATGGCATTTGGTGCAAAGCACTGCCAAGCACCTAAACACATTTTTAATCTGAAACAAAAGATGCTAAATACGGTTCTATGTTAGAGAGTTCTGAAGTGAAGCATTTTTTGGATGGTATAATCACTGCTTCTGAAAACAACTGCCTTAGGGAAAGGGTTTCACTTGAAACCACACTTTCAATTGACCATTGTCATTAACTACAGACAGACAACAAAGGAAAAAGCAACTTGCTGTGAGAGCTTCCTTGCAGGCTGGTGAAGGGAACAGGGTGTTGGGATCTTTAGCTGGTCTCAGTGACCCTAAGAAAAATTAGAAAGTCTCTTTTCCCAGCCCAGTGCTTGAAGAAGGAGTCAGGGCTCTCCATTTCTCGGTCTCAAGGTTGTTTATTGTTCCTTATCTATAAAAACTTTTTTCCTGCCCTGCCGAGGTCCTCTTAGCAAGACAGTCCAGGTACTCTGCCTGCCCCCAGGGCAGTGTTATGTCTTTATACTAAAAACTACGTGTGCAATATTTACAATAACTTCCCAATACCTATTACCTATGTTAGACAGTGAGCTTCTACTCTAAACCAACACTAAAAGTGCCAACATCACAGCAGAAGATGGAGGCCAAGAAGAAGAAGGAGAAAGGCTGGATGTACCCAGATTCCTCCATTTTGCCCCCTGAACCCCCATACCAACCAGAAACCCCAAAATCTACTTTTTCACCCCGTGATAAACTCACTATTATTCTACTTAAACTGTTGTGGCTTGCAGATCTTCATATAAGGTTGGTAATTTGTTCCATGGGTCACAATCAAACCCACAGGCATCCTGGGCTCTGTGCCAGCGTCTCTGAGCCCCCTGGAAGGGATCTTGGCCATCCTGGACAGCCAGAGGGATGTTCTGGGTTCCCACAGCAAGGAAAGGAGCTGCCTCCACCTTTGCCTGCTCAGAGTCAGGATCTGCACACCAAGCCTGGAGATTTCCCCAACTATCCCAGGAACCCAAAGGTTATCCACCAAACCCCCTCCCTTGCACAGCCCCAGTGCTTCCCCTCCATTTGAATTACATGAGCTGACAAAGCAGTCAGAACCAATAAGTATCCACTGGTTCTCTTTATTCAGCAGCACAACCTGGAGCCATTCTGGCACTCGGGAGGAGGAATTGCTGTTACCTGGATGTTGAGCCTCCCTCGGTGGGCCCCGAGGCCGTAGCGCTTGGCCGTGGAGGCATGGAGCTGGAAGTCAGTAATTTTCAATGTCTCCAGACCGAGTGGAGGGCAATCTACAAAACAAAAGATTGATTAGGTTTTAATTGAACAGGAAAACAACAAAAAACAAACCAACGAAACAACACCAAACAAACAAGTATTCACAGTTCCTGGATTTCGGCAGTGCCAAGCTGGCTGGGCCCTCGCTGGGACGGAGGAGCAGAGCAGTGCTGAGGGCAATGAGGAATGGCAGCTCTCAGAAAATCAGCGAGGCAATGCAGATTTACACCCTTTGCAGGGGCTCAGAGAGTTATTGCTGCTTGCTCTGTGCTTCAGTTTCTCACAGATATGCACAGTATTTCCTGTCAAGTGCTTTTCACCAGCAAAACGCCCTTTTTATTTTTACTTTTTGTATTTTCTTTTTCATCTCTTGCTTGGATTTTTTTCTCCCTCCCTGTACTCATTCCAAGCTACTGTATGAAATGATGTTTCTAATTAAAATCTCTTCTGGAAGCTTCACTCAGAGTTTCTCCCATTGCACAACAGCATCTGTTCCAGAGGTCTGGGAGCCCAGAGAGAGCTGAGCTCTGCAGAGGTGGTGATTAAACACAAACAGAGCAATTTTGACCCAAGGATCATCTCTCTAAGCCCCAAATTCTGCAGATCCTTGAGGACAGAAAAGGAAATGCCAGCACTTCAGCAAAGCAGTGCTTGGAGCTCTGGCTTTGGAAGACAAGAGGTTGGGAAAAATCTGTTCTGTGATTATCAGACAAATATTTGGCTTTTTAATCACTCACCAAAATGTCATGAGGTTATCAAAGTATGAAAGAATCATTTATGGTGGGAAAGCCCTCAAAAATCATCAAGTCCAACCATTCCCTCATCACTGAAATGTTCACCAATACTGTCCCCAAATGCCACATGTACATCTCTGTTAAATCCCTGCAGGGATGGGGACTCTGCCCTGGACAGGGAATGTACCTGGTTGAATTTAACTTTCAGGTTGTCTTTAACTTTCAGGTGCAATTTTGCATTATTAGGCACAAACTGGCAATGTGTGAGATTTCCCAGATTCCTCCTTAGTTCCCAACAAATTAAAAACCCTCAGGAAAAATGTGACAGGTTATCAGTTCATGCTGCTGTTTCTTTGGTCATCCTTAGGAAGTTCCCACACAAATCCAGGGACAAATGTGTCCTTCAGAAGTAATAAAGACATAAAGTAAAAATGAATATATTTTCTGAAGTACCAACAGTGATCTTAGTGTTACATAAGAGCTGAAATGTAGACAGCTCCTCATTTCAAAGAGCTTTCAATTCAATTATCCAAAGCAGAGAAGAAACAGGATGTGTAATGAAAGGCAGAGGAAGGAATAGCTGGGAGGATTTTGGGATGATTGTCTGATTGTTTTAATTTCATTTCCTTATAGAGTGTTGCATCTTTCATCATACTCCAAGTGGAAGTGTCAGGCTCTGACAGATCTCCTCTGGGAGTAAATTACATTGTTGGGAACTGCCTGCCTCTTTTAACAAGTTTGGTCCTAATGACAGGTTTGGAAATCAACCTCATGGTGCAAGGTGCATTCAATACTTGCATGAAAATAAATGAAAATACTTTCTTCCACTGTTGGCTCCTCTTTGTCCAGTGGACATCCCAAACTGGGAGCAGAGCAGCAGGATTTGCATTCAAAGACCTTTAGATATTTATGTATTTCCGATGTTGGGATTCATGCAGTTTTCCACCAGAGAAGACGTTTGATTTTTATTTAAAATAAAATTATGTTTTCTATTAATAGCCATAATAGCTAAATATTAACACTTTAAGAATATAAATGTTTTCCATATGCATACAAATTCCAACATCAATAAAGGGATGAAAAGAGGAGCATGTAGACTGAAACAACAACATGTAATGTACAGAGATGGTGGGGTCAAATTTTTCAATATAGCCTCTTCTGATTACCTCAGATTTACTCATTATAATACAACAAAATCCACCTGAAGTTGCCATATCACTACTGAAAAAAATAATTCTGAGTCATACTGAGAATTTAATTTTGGATAAATTATTTTGTTGGGGTGTGTGTCCCCTGCTTCTTGTACCTATTGGAGATAATCAGGACAGCCTAGTTTTGAAAAACATACAGGAAAAGAAACTGATTTATGGCATTCATAAAAACTTTACTTTTTAAAGTATTGCTTTAATACATTTTATTTAACTTGAAGAAATATTTCACAAACCAATGAAAATTGCCACCCAATCAGCAGGGCTGTCTTAATGATTTTGTATTCTCTGTGCCAGTTTGAAAAAACCTTGGGGAAGCCACAGAAATTGGACAGCAGGAATGACCAGAGATTGTGTGAATCTGTTGCATAATGGATTCAGCTGGAAATGACCCAATTATTTGGTTATTTCTTTAACCAGCTGAAAATTTAACCATTATAAAACACAGGGAATTCAACTGTGGCTTTGAGATATTTAAATAAACATGCTGTGTACATAAGAACTTAATAGATAAATGCACCTACAGCATTTCTGGTTTAGAGGGAAAAAAAGCAAACATTCAGCTTGAAGGTGCAGGGAAGGGGCTGTTGTGGACATTTCTTCCCTCCTGGTCCATATCCAAGCATGATTTTGTGTTTGATTTGCAGCCATGGATAGGTGTTCCCTTTAGAAATGAGCATTAATAAGATGTCTGAATCAAATGAATTAATTCCAGTAAAAAGAGACAGGGCTTGGATTCAGAGTTAATAACATTTGTCTGTGGGAGTGTGTTCTTGTGAGGTTTCCTGCAGCAATACTGAATGGCCACATCCCAGTGTCCTTTATTGCCAATTATTCTTCCCCCAGGAGTCCCAGCAGGGCACCAAGGCAGTTCTGGTACCTGGGGGAAATCCCTGACCATTAAAATCAGCAGGAGAAACACCCAGGAACCAGTTCAGTCTCCATTTCATCTCTTGAAATCTGGATTTGCCTCTCATTCCAGGTTTGCCTACAGCAGGAACAACGCCTGGGTGTGCAGCTGAGCTCCCTGCCCAAGCCAGCAGGGGCTCACTTTGCAATCTCAGTGTGGGGGGATATTTGAAAGCAGTTTCATCCTCACGATGGCTTTGTCCTGTGGCTGCAGCATCGTCCATTGAAGCCCTGGTCAAACCCCACCTTCTGCAGAGCCAGCCTGGTTTCCTTCACTCCTGCAGGGCAATTACAGCTGCTGTGCTGCAATTTCAGCTGCTCTGCATCAGCTGTAGGAGCAGGCCAGGAAAACACTTGTGCTCATCTCTGTTACTTAAATTACTCATTTATTTTATTTCCTTCTGGTCTAAATAAAGAATGCCAGATAAGTCCAGACTGCCTTCGTGGCTCTTGTATCCAAAAAAGATGCATTTAGGAAATCATTCTGTCCTCCTCTTTCAGAGGCAAAGCAGACAAGCAATTCTTTTACTTAAAGAGAATTTCCCATCAATTTTGGAGTATGTTCCAAAATGGAACATATTCCAGCTTTTCAAATATACATATATATATATTCCAGCTTTTCAAATGGAAGGGCAGAGAGAAGCACCATGTTTCCTCTTCAGCCCATATCACAAAAGCCGTACCTGTAACCCTCTTCAATTCCTGCAAGTCTGTGCTGGTCTAACTCCTCATGAGTACAGATACTGGCATCTGGAAATGGAGAAATATCAGCTCTGTGCAGCCTGACAATCTCCTGTCCCAGGGGAGATACAGGGTTTAAATCTTGTTTAAACAAAGCATTTCAACAGGCAATTAAGAGGCAAAACTGTGAATTTGCCTACAGATACAGGTAAATTAAGCACACAAGTAAGTGTATAATCTGTGGGAATTAAGACTTTAATGTTCATTATACCATTGATACTATTCTTAAGTCTTGATGGTCTCACACAAAAATTTCTTAATGAGGCCAATATCATAAATTTTGCCCTAGCAGCTAAATTTAGAATTTTTCCTATGAAAAGTGTGGTTGATTATTCATCTTCCAACAGCAGAAACTTTTAATGGGAGCTCTGGCAGTCGAATTTCCGTGGCTAAAGTTCTGCTTAGGTCACAGGTAGGAAAAGGACTTTAATACTGCAATGCACCTGCAAGGTGAAATAACAGTAAAAGCACATTTCTGACAACCTTCACCTTGCTGAAAATATATTTTGATTATGTTTCTGTGATTGACAGCCTTTGTAAGGGCTGAGTTCAACAGAAAAAAGTTTTCAATTTTCGAAATAATTTGTTATATATATATATATATTACATAAATAATTTATATTTACTTATAAGGGCATGGAGGGGTGCAAATCTGGTCTCAATGTTGCTGTTTTGATGATGTGATCATGGAAGTGTGAAATTCCCACAGATGTTCATGACTCACACTCCACAGTTGCTTTTCCCTGCAAAAATGTCCATGGGTTTCAGTCTGGGTGCTTTCCTGGCTCTGCTCATATCTGAAGTGTTGCTAACAACAATAACAAGTTTCTTTTCTGACCTGAATTCAGGCCACAGCCACCCTACACCCCAGATCATTTCAAGCAGCATCTTGAGGCAGCTTAAAGTTCCTCAAACACCTTTTGCTTTTATTTACTTTTTCTGAAAAACCCATGAGCACTGTGAGAGCAAAGCAAGCAAAGTGCACTTACAACAAATCCCCCTGCACAGAAGTTGAAACACTGAATTACAGTCCCAGGCCAAAGATCAAATAAAGAATTAAGGAGATGCCAACATTTCCTGTCCTAAGACCACATTAATTATTGGCTCATGTTGCACTAAAGCTGCATATTTTTCCAGGACAAGCACCAAATGCTGCATTGGGGTCTTCAACATTAGGGACTCCTCTCAGGAGGAAATATTTACCACAGCAGTGCAACCTACACTTGTGATTGCTCCTGAAGATTTAAAAAGAAATAAAGAATAAATGAAGCATTCTCTGGGTTCTTTAGGTCAGGTCTGACATGAAACCAAATGAGATTCTGAAAATGCACTTTTTTTTCATTTTCTCTCATTAACTTTTCACATTTTTGCTCTCTCACAAGCCCAGGTTGTGGCTGGCTGCAGATGCAATGAAACACTTAG